TTTAGCTTAATGAAATTTTAACTTAAGGTAAAGTACCGGTACATTTTCGCGTGTATTTCAAGTTCTAACCGTTTTTGATGAAATTTTATATTTAAGTTTATTTCGACTATGGCACGGATTGATAAACTTCTGGGATATCTCAGGTCTCGGGAACTCAACTATTTAACGGATCATTTTGAAGAAAATATTCAACCGATTTACTTGACATTTCATAAATGAGCTTCATTAGACCGTCCGCGAAACCTCCTAACTTCGGAAGAAATCCGGCGTCAGCAACTAGACGTTTACTACGGGTCAACTATACATTTTTGCGTATAACAAGAGAAATAATCAACTGATTTCATTGAAATTTAATATTTAAATTCGAGGCTTTAAAACAATGAATCTGTAAATTTTTGGATAGATCAGGGCTCAGAAACTGATCTGGGGGTCGATTTAACATTTTTTACCATATGTACGGAACGAATTGATGAAATTTGTTGAAATTTAATATTTGAGTTCTGGTTGTTACCAGAAGTTCCCCACAAACTTTTCGTATGATTCGGAGAACACAAAACGAAACTCTACTAAGTGCCAACTTCACATTTTTCTAGGTATGTTAACCAAAAGCTTATTAGTGTCCTTGAAATGGTAAAGAAGTGTTCAAAACGCATTTTCATAATCTTCTATAATACTTTTACTAATATACACAATGTACATTGCGGTTGTTGATCACAATCAGATGTTGATCACATCAGGTTTTTTCTATATCTTATAGAAAACTATAATATCGTAAACTAAATAAAAAAAAAATTTTAGTATTGCCGGGTCAAAAATGTATGGGAAATTTTATCTGTAATTTAATTTTATTAACGTAATTGGATTTTTAGTTGTAATATTTATCGACCGCATTGTATACAAAAAGGAAGGTTATGTAATGACACCAAATTTTGCATGTCGAGTTTTTGATGAGAATTACGTACTTCTCCATAGTAGGGAAGCGTAAATAAACTACGTTTAAAGAGGTGTCGAACTGTCCGTCTGTTGTGTACATGCGTGTACGTGTGTTCAAGTACGCCTGAACCGATTTTGATGTAATTTTATATGTAAGTTTGTTTTAGATAGATTAATTTTTGGGGTAATAACCAACCTATTTTCTTGAAATTTAATATTCGAATTCGGTGGTGTTAAGATGATAAATCAATAAATTTTTTGAAAAGATCAAGTCTCGGAAATCAAACTGGGGCAGATTTTACATTTTTTACCATATCTACGCAACGGATTGATGGAAATTCTTGAAATTTGATATTTGAGTATGGTAATTATCAAAACTAACTGGTGATGTTTTCACGAAATTTGGGCATCAGATTTTTTTTTGGTCAGTTTTATGCGTTTTCTTTCAATCGGTTGTGGTTTTGTTTGCGTCCGTATTTGTACTAAAGAAAAATATATATAATGGTAAATATAGAAAGCATTTTAATATAAAAGAAATTGAAAATTATTTTCAAAAATCCATTCGATATAATAATCTAAGATCTAAGATTCGATATAACGAACGGGCTCGGTATTACGAATGACTCCAACTTTATATTATTTGTTATATTGGAACACCAATTTATATAGTTTATTGTGTGATACATTCGAAGTGAAATATTAAATTTAATATAAATAAATTACAATTTTTGTATACTTACATGTATATTAAATGTTTATAATAATTTCTTTAAAAATAAATAAATTATAACTCATATTAAAAATCAAAGAGGAATTTCAAATGCCACAAATATTATAAAAAGTTGTAATACTATGAATTTATTGATTTAAAAATTTTGACATCATAATAATTTTGAGATGTACATAATACGAAAATAACATTACTTAATATTGCATTTAATGTTATATAAATTATTTTATTATGAATAGTAAAACATACATATACACATATATATATATATATAATTGAAGTATATTCAGAATTATTATGTGTTTGAATAGACTACATACTTCTTATATGAGATTTTTACATGAGTATAGTATACAAAAAATCAATAAAACATCCGTCATTCCGAAATTGGAGTAATATGATACTTTTATACAATTGAGCTTACTTTTAGTTGCTGAATTGTGAATTAATTCACAATTTTCAAGTCTAGTATATAACAATTTTAAAGAAGTTTTTATTTTCTTTTAGGACCGTTTTAGCAATCATTGAATGATTTTTTGGTAATGCAACACAATTTTAAAATAAAAAGAGATTTTTTTTTGTAAGAGCAAAATTTCGCAAAATGCTTATTATTTATAGGCCGATAAAAACTCGATGTAATCGATTTTTTTAATAAATAGTTTATAATATGTACGTATATAAAATGTTTTTTGAATTAAAATAACTCCACAAAGGAAACTATGTTTTGTTTTTACATTAAAAAATCGATTCGATAAAATTAACTTCGTTGATTATAAATACATTATTATGTATATTTTATAGTTAAATAAATTTTCTTTATTTTATTATCTACATATTTACTATTTTTATCTTATCGCACACATAAATTTTTTGTTACCTAAATATTACTAGTATATTTGTAATATTGTATACAACTTACACAATATCTTTAACCTATTATTAATTTACATTATTTGCTTTAACTATACTTAAGTTTCCAGTATTCTAATTTATTTGCTAATACATTTTTAAAATCAAGTTATTTTTTAAGGAAATGCTAAAACATAAAATTGTTTTCAATATTCCGTGTATGCAAACTTTTTGAATTATTTTGCCAAATATTTTTGCAAAGGTATGGAACTTTGACATTGGTGTTTCAGTAATAATTGTTATGTAGCACTACACGATCTACATTAATCCAATCTGCTATCAATCTCTCTCCTCTTTGACTTGTAACTATTCCAATGTTTTGTTTTGAAACATGTTTTATATTTTTTCTCAATAAAGACTTTCACATTATTCTAATACTGTAAAAACTAATTTTTTTACAAAGTTTAATTTAAAACAAGTGGGCCTAATTATTAAACAAATGTACATATACATATAGATTCGTAATTTTGGTAAAATCTGGTATTTTATGCAGCAAGTGTTTATGTAACATATTTTTTTCAGATATTTATTAGTCTATAAAATCCGAACAAGTTGTAGATTTCTACAACTTATAGCCTAAAAGAAGAATGATATCAAAAATTAAAAAAATATTGGTTTAAGACAGCGATTAATTTTAACGGGCAGTTTGTTATTGTAAATGTTTAACTATGCCTAAATTTATGACGGGCAGAGTGAAAAGAATAAACACTTTTTTCAATTGTCTTTTTTGGAAAAATGTTGAAAATAACTAATTGTACTTGTTTTTATTTATGTAAGCTAATTTATCCTAATTCATCGTAACCTATCATTTTGTATATTCATCCGAAATATGTACAAAAACATTAAATATGTTAAAAGAATAATGTGTATCTATCCAAAATCATTTTTTTAAAGGAAGGTTTTCTAAATTGTTCGAAGGAAAGTTGCTTCTTTAAAGACCTAAAACAATGTATTTGCTTTGTTCCTAATTCTTTGAGAATAAGTATTTTGCCCCTTTTATAAATTTTTTTATATCATTAACAAAAAAATTTATAAATGAAAATTTATAATACAAATATATATATTACAAATAACAATTATAAATTTATAATTTTTATTGTTTTTGTAAATCGCTATAATAATTTTAATTTTGACCGTATGAGAATCGAATATGAAGGAATAATATTTAAATGTTTTAGAAACAAGTTCAGTTTCTCATACATTTCTTTTTCTAAATTCATGCGGTAGAGTTTCCTAGAGGAAAAAACAATATTTTGTCGCAAAGTCGCGCTATGTTGATAAGAACTTAAGTTGTTTTTTCAACAAACTTTACCAAATTCTTTTACAGAAATATAGCCAAATTTTTTTTTCACTTTTCAAAATTTAAGAAAAACAAGTAAAAAGTTTTCAGTCAGTATTATTATTTAAGGGTAAAAATAGGTTCAGTCGAGCAAATTATACCTTGAACCTAGACAATCTGAGTTTAAAAATTTGTTTTTGAAATTTCTAGAATTAGCTTTTACACTGTTGTATAACAAATATTCCTTTAAAATTGGCCCAATTGCAATAGCAGCCGTCTTTGATAGAAAAGAAACAACTTGTGAAAGATTCGACACCAAAAATTGCATTATTAGTTTTTGAGTTATCGTGCGGTCGGACAGACAAACATTGCTAAATCAATGTAGAATTTTACGCTGTGCAAGAATATATATAAGTGGTTACCATATCACGATGATGCATAATGAATAAAAAATTCTTTATTATTAACAAACGAAATTAAAAGTCTATGATAATATAAAAAGAAAACTGAGAAAAACATAAAACATGATTTTCCTGGTTTGTGTACAATGGAATATTAAATTTATTGATGAATTTTTCAGATAAAAGATGTGCGCGTGTGTTAAAATTGTTGCTCTTATACAAGAATATTGTAAAATTTTTCAATATTTGTTTTTTTTTCATTAACCATGCAAGATAATAAAATTTTAAAACTTTTATTAAATTTATATTATATAATGAATTAAAAAATTTCTAAAATTCGAATTTTCTTTTGGCTTCTTTTACAGCCGCGTTCTTTCGTATTGCTATGTTGAAGTTGAGCGTTTATTAATTGTACCTTTTTTGATAAATTACTTTAACAGAATCTTTCTAATTTTATTTAATTTATGTAGGTAACGTTAAATGTAGGCAATAAATTAAATAATTTAAAGTAATAATAAAAACCTCCATATTAATAATTTATTTTAAACATCTGTTGATGTATCGAATAAAACGGTGAAAATTATTTTTTTATGTTTATCACAGAAACACATTATTACTCTATACATGATTTGTTTGTATATATAACGTATATCCTCAAAAAAAAATTATTAGCCATTTAAAATTAAAAATAAATTTTGAAACTTTTAAAACTTTAAAAATGCTTTTGCTATTTTAAGTATAATTTTGTTTAATTTTTCTTATATAATTATTAATTTAAGCTATATTTTCTTTTTATTGTTCTAAATTTAAAAATTTTTTTTAAAAAATGAATTTTAATATAAAAGTACATATATAATATAAAAGTAAAATTTATCTTACTATACCTACGCATGTATAAATATTTTCATCATTAAAATATTTTAAGAATCAAAAAAATATTTTGCAATATGGTTTATGCTAAATTTCACTAATTCCCTGGAGGTCATTATTTGAAGCTTTCACCTGCATTGTTTTAACTGTTGTTGGTTGGTCGAAATTTTCTGTTCCAGCGTTGAGTTTCCCTAATGGTATATTAACTGCTTGAAGAACAACAGATGCCACTTCCTGTTAGCAAAATTTTGGACAAAATTATGTTGCTTCATTTTCTTTCTATTTAATTCGTTCTTTATTCATTTTATATACAATCATCCAAATATAATTAGAATTGGGTTAGCTGTTATGTTTTTTCGAATTATTTGATGATTTGAGATTTATAAGAATTTTATATGAATATTTTTTATATGTATTTTTTTGTTATGTTACGATGCCATATAAATTTGTTTTTTACTCATTTGATATAAAGTTTCCAATGAACTGCAGTAGTAAAATAAATAACGAAATTATAACAACTAGAATAATAGTTATATAACACCATCATAGTTGGTTCCCTATATGAGTTGAATCGGTTGGTAAAGAATGATTCTATATTGAGATAATGATAAAAATTGATTTTTGTTTTTGAATTTTTTAAGAGATTTTAATTGTGAAAATAATTACTAAATAAGTTCAACCGAATATTGTTTTATAGTTTAAGACATTTTTTTTATTTAATTTTATTTGAAAAAGTTAAAAAGAAAGAATTAAAAAAAAAAGGTTTGGATAATGATATTATTGTACGTATGTGCCAATGTATAAGTGTTAAAAAATGAAATACTGCATGCGATACAAAATAAAAGTAGATATAACTTTAAAATAAACAAAAAACAAGTAAAAACGTTTCAGTCGGTATAAACCGATTGAATTATACCCTGCACCTTTCGTTATTGTGTAGCAATTACTCGAACCTGTGAAGTCATTCTATAGAAACTTCATGGATATGTCTGATCTATAATCGGACACACAACTGCCAAGTTTCATGAATCTGACTTTATTATTTTTCCAAATATTAAGAATAAGCTTTAAGACTTGCATGGGAGCTACTCGAACCTGTCAATCAACCCCATTAAAACTTTAGAAATATGTCTGACCTATAATTGGACACACGACTGCCAAGTCTCATGAATCTGACTTTATTATTTTTCCAAATTTTTAAAATAAGCTTTTAGACTTGTATGGGAGCTACTCGAACTTGTCAAGCAATTCCACTAAAACTTCAGAAATATATCTGACCTATAACTCGACACAAAACTGCCAAGTTTCATGAATCTGACTTTATTATTTTTCCAAATATTTAAAATTAGCTTCTGGAGTTGTATGGCAGGTACCCGAACCTGTCAAGCAATTCCTCTTAAACTTCACAAATATATCTGATCTATAATCGGACATCCAACTGCCAAGTTTCATGAATCTGACTTTATTATTTTTCCAAATATTAAGAATAAGCTTTTAGACTTGTATGGGATCTACTCGAACCTGTTAAGCAATTCCACCAAAACTTCAGAAATATATGTGACCTATAACTCGACATACAACTGCCAAGTTTCATGAATCTGACTTTATTATTTTTCCAAATATTTAAAATAAGCTTTTAGACTTGTATGGGAGCTACTCGAACCTGTTGAGCAATTCTACCAAAACTTCAGAAATATATTTGAGTCATAATTGGACAGATGACTGCCAAGTTTCATGAATCTGACTTTATTATTTTTCCAAATATTTAAAATTAGCTTCTGGAGTTGTATGGCAGGTACCCGAACCTGTAAAGCGATTCCTCTAAAACTTCAGAAATATATTTGACCTATAATTGGACACATGACTGCCAAGTTTCATGAATCTGACTTTATTATTTTGCTGAATATAAAAAATTTGCTGTTAGAGTTGTATGGCAGCCACCCGAACCGGTGCAGCTATCCCATTATAATTTTTAGAGCATGTGTAGAATATAATTGGACATGTATACAAAATTTTATATTTATAGCTTTATTAGTTTTTGAAATATTAAAAATAAACTCTTGGAGTTGTATGGCAGCTACCCGAACCCGTTGTCCGACTTAGTCCAATAACAATAGGGTTCGTCCTTGGCACAAAAGAAAAAACTTGTGAAAGTTTGGTGTCGATTGCATTATTCGTTTTTGAGTTATCGTGCGATCGGACGGACGGACGGACGGACGGACCGACGGACGGACGGACGGACATGTCTAAGTCGACGCAGAATTTTACGCTGAGCAAGAATATATATATATGTCCATACCGCAAGTAGTTACAAACTCCATACCAAAGTTAATATAAACAAGTAAAAACGTTTCAGTCGGTATAAACCGATTGAATTATACCCTGCACCTTTCGTTATTGTGTAGCAATTACTTGAACCTCTAAAATCATTCTATAGAAACTTCACGGACATGTCTGACCTATAATTGGACATACGACTGCCAAGTTTCATGAATCTGACCTTATAATTTTTCCAAATATTTAAAATTAGCTTTTGGAGTTGTATGGTAAGTACCTGAACCTGCCAAGCAGTTCCACCAAACCTTCACAAATATATCTGATCTATAATCGGACAAACAACTGCCAAGTTTCATGAATCGGACTTTATTATTTTTCCAAATATTAAGAATAAGCTTTTAGACTTGTATGGGATCTACTCGAACCTGTTAAGCAATTCCACCAAAACTTCAGAAATATATGTGACCTATAACTCAACATACAACTGCCAAGTTTCATGAATCTGACTTTATTATTTTTCCAAATATGTAAAATAAGCTTTTGGAGTTGTATGGCAAGCACCCGAACCTGTCAAGCAATTTCACTAAAACTTCACAAATATATCTGATCTATTATCGGACACACAACTGCCAAGTTTCATGAATCTGACTTTATTATTTTTCCAAATATGTAAAATAAGCTTTTGGAGTTTTATGGCAAGTACCTGAACCTGTCAAGCAATTCCATCAAAACTTCACAAAAATATCTGATCTATAATCGGACACACAACTGCCAAGTTTCATGAATCTGACTTTATTATTTTTCCAAATATTAAGAATAAGCTTTTAGACTTGCATGGGAGCTACTCGAACCTGTCAAGCAATCGCACCAAAACTTTAGAAATATGTCGGACCTATAATTGGACACACGACTGCCAAGTCTAATGAATTTGACTTTATTATTTTTCCAAATATTTAAAATAAGCTTTTAGACTTGTATGGGAGCTACTCGAACCTGTCGAGCAATTCCACCAAAACTTCAGAAATGTATTTGAGCCATAATTGGACACATGATTGCCAAGTTTCATGAATCTGACTTTATTATTTTTCCAAATATTTAAAATTAGCTTCTGGAGTTGTATGGCAGGTACCCGAACCTGTCAAGTGATTCCTCTAAAACTTCAGAAATATATTTGACCTATAATTGGACACATGACTGCCAAGTTTCATGAATCTGACTTTATTATTTTGCCACCCGAACCAGTGCAGCTATCCCATTATAATTTTTATAGCATGTGTAGAATATAATTGGACACATGTATACAAAATTTTATATTTATACCTTTATTAGTTTTTGAAATATTTAAAATAAACTCTTTGAGTTGTATGGCAGCTACCCGAACCCGTTGTCCGAATTAGTCCAATAACAATAGAGCTCGTCCTTGGCACAAAAGAAAAAACTTGTGAAAGTTTGTGTCGATTGCATTATTCGTTTTTGAGTTATCGTGCGATCGGACGGACGGACGGACGGACGGACAGACGGACATGTCTAATTCGACTTAGAATTTTACGCTGAGCAAGAATATATATATATGTCCATACCGCAGATGACTCCTTCAAGTAGTTACAAACTCCATACCAAAGTTAATATACCCTTCACGAAGTGCAGGGTATAAAAAAGAATATAAATTCAAAAATATATTTTTTTGTGAAGCAAACTAATTGCGTTAATTCACTAAATTTTGCAGAATAACTACTTGCACCATGTTTATGCGTAACTATAATAGAATAAGTACTTTTTCCCAAAAGTTTTCAAGAATCCTATTGGATAGTTTTTTTTATAAATTAAAATATAAATTAAAAATTCAAAGCGGAAACACCAAACAATTATGACTTATAGATAAATTTACATGTTTACGAAAATTTGAAAACAATATCTGGGGGCGTATATATATTTGAAAATATAACAAAAACTTAAAAAATCGTTATACAATATTTCTCTTATAAAAATTTGACTATAAAAAACTATAAATATTTTCTTTGAAATATTTTTAAGAAATCAGAAAAAAAAATTTTATAAAGTCGGGTCACATCTAAAATTAAATTAAATAGTATAAGCCCTACTCTCTTCCTGATATAATAAATTGTTATATGACTGTAATTAAATTTTGTGTTGTAATTAATTTTTGTGTAGACCTATAATAGAATTATAAATATCAATATTTTAAATTCAATATGACATACATATTATAAATTAAAACTTTATATAAAACAAGAAGGAAATTTCATTTCTACTCAATTGATATTTTCTCCCACACAAAATTTGTTCAATATTCCACGCTGTGAATTTTTTTTATTCCACGCCTAAAGCAATTGTTAATAATTTTTTTATTTTTTTTATTTTTGTACCCGTTCGAAGGGTATATTAAATTATGTTCGAAGGGTATACTAAATTTGCCTTAACGCTAAGAAATAATGCTCTGAGATATAGACTGAAGTATATGTTTTAGCTTTTTCTATCCGTCCGTAGGTCCGTCCCAGCGACAACTCAAAAGCTAATTGAGCTAAGTTCACCAAATTTTTACAAATGATTTACTATAGTAAGTGCCAGAACTCTATTTAAATTGGACATGATCTTCTTCAAAAGTTATTTTGAAGACTTCAAAAGTGATTTGGCTATATGAAGAACTCAAAAGTTATTTGGCTATATCTCTGAAACAATAAAAGCTGTAATATTGATATTTCACACAAGCGAATATATTAATATGGCTGATGTGTTTGATAAAATTCGTTAAAATTGCTTGGCTCTTTCTGATACCTGCCATACAACTTCAATAGTAGTTTGGCATACAGTATTTTGAAAAACACAGTACTGAAATTTTGCAAAAATTAATCAGTTATGGCACATTTATTCGGACTTGGAATAAAAAATTTGTAAGGGTATCACAGAGTTGACAAGGTCAACTCCATTTTTTCTCGTTTGACTTAAATTTATTATTATTTTTCTATAAAGTAAAATTAAACAATTGCATGGGCCACGTGCCGCAGATCATGTATATGTTAAATGGAATTGGCTCAAACTTATATAAATAAGCATTTAGACATAACAACGTACAAACCTTTAAAGCTATGTATGTTGAGGAAAATCGGCTTGAATAAAATGAATATGCTCCGCACGAAATATAATATGTTGACGAAAATAAAGTTATTTTTTTTGGATTAAAGAAAATTTTGTTCTTCCTTTTTAAAAAGTGTTTTTGGAAAATATTCGAAGAATAATCAATTGGTTTTGTAAAATTAGTTGAATGGAAAATATTTGATGTGATTACCATAAATTTTAAGGCATTGCACATAAAGTTATATAAGCATATATAGAATATGGTAACGCGTTTCTCACTTTAATTATTTTTTGTTGAATAGAAGGGATTGATTATCAGAAGAAATATATTATCAAGTTTGAAACAGCAATTGACAAATTAAGTTAAGTTAAGCGATTTAAGTTAATTGGTGCAAACTGAACCGAACACATGTTCAAAATCACAATGTCTCGCTGCATAAGAAATTTTATTCATTTAATAAACCATTGGAACCCACAAGAGTGAATAGAGCTATCGTGCTTTTTAATATGTAAACTTAGTACCAGAGTAAATAACTGTTGCTCTGGTACTACAATAGTTCTGGTAATAACAATAATTTCAGAGAAAATCCTTTAAAGCTGTCAAAAAGTATGCTAGGAAACACAGTACTATCGTGTCACGTCCCTGCTTTAATATACCCTGCACTTCGTGAAGGATATATTAACTTTGGTATGGAGTTTGCAACCACTTGAAGGAGTCATCAGGGTATGGACATGTATATATATTCTTGCTCACCGCAAAATTCTGCGTTGACTTAGACATGTCCGTCCGTCCGTCCGATCGCACGATAACTTAAGAACGAATAATGCAATCGACACCAAACTTTCACAAGTTATTTCGTTTGTCCCAAGGACGAACCCTATTGTAATTGGACTATTTCGGACAACGGGTTCGGGTAGCTGCCATACAACTCAAAGATTTTATTAAAACATTTCAAAAATCAATATAGATATAAATATGCCATACAACTCCAAAAGCTAATTTTAAGTATTTGGAAAAGTAGAAAAGTCAGACTCATGAAAATTGGCAGTCGTGTGCCCAATTATAGGTCAGATATATTCTTGAAGTTTTGCTTGAATTGCTTGTCAGATTTAAGTGGCTGCCATAGAAGTCCTAAAATCTACTATTAAATATTTGAAAAAATAAAAAAGTGAAATTAATGAAACATTACAGTCGTATGTCCAATTAGGTCAGATATTTCTTGAAGTTCTGGTTGAATTACTTGACGGGTTCGGGTACCTGCCATATAAGTTCAAAAGCTAATTTTAAATATTTGAAAAAATAATAAATTCAAATTCATGAAGCTTGACAGTGTATGTCCAATTATAGGTCAGACATATTTGTGAAGTTTCTAAAGAATGGTTTTACAGGTTCGAGTAATTGCTATACAACAATGAAGGGTGCAAGGTATAATTCAGTCGGTTCACACCGAATGAAATGTTTTTACTTGTTTGTTTATTTATTTAAGTGAGAAGAAATAAATAAAGATTCAAATGATAAAATGTTTATAATTCGTTCACTTTTCAATTAATAATTTAAAAGTGTGATATAGACATTTTGAGAATGATAGTTTGAACTTAATTAGTTGAAATCAGGAAAGGAATAATAAGCAAAAAATCTTTTATTGAAAATTGTTTTCCGAACAATTAAAATTTACAGTATCTTTACTTTCTTATAGGCATATGCTTTCTTTTTTCAAGTGATCAGCTGCTCATGAACAACGTAGAACAGCTTCAAGAAACAATAAATTACTGAATTTTTATACATTTTTTTTATATATTGTTGCCACATTTAATATACTTAGATACATATCATAATTGAATTTTAATAAAAATGTTTAAATTGTACATTTTATATAATTTTTTTAATATCACTCATTGAATTTGCTTTTGAACTCAATTACTTGTAACAATAGTAGTTATAACATAACAATAAATCGTACAGTTAATATTTTTATTTTTAAAGAACAAATTAGTTGTTTTTAATAGCCGGTACAATTCAATTCGGTATCATTGACGTTATAGTCTGCCATTTTACAAAACCCTTTTGTACTATAGAGCAATTTTTGAAAAAGAATTTTTAGAAAAAAAGCACATAATTATGAAATAAAATTTCAGTATTTTGACCAAATTGCTTCGATTATCGTAAAGAAAAAAACTTTATTTCCTTTTGAAGTTTTTTGTTTTCATAATTACTTTTAAAAGGATTTATAAAAGGACCAATCACATTTACTATTGTCTCAATTCTATTTTGATATGTACATACAACATGACTTTAAAGACAAATGAAAAAAACATTGCACGTAACAAAAAAAAAATTGCTACATTTTTTTTTATTTTGATTAACATACAATTTTGCAATGGAAAATTTACATATATAATCCATTTTGATCTCAAAAACAAAATTCTTTTAATAAAAAATTTAATCAAATTTTAATAACATAGAAATCGTGATTTGATCAAATAATTTAAGAAAAATTTAAAAGTGTTTTAACAAACGCTTTTGAAGCGCGAATATTTTCGTGTATTTCGTGCAATGAGAATTTATTTTACTCAAATTCAAAATGCGAACTGCCGGTCTAACCCGACTATACGTTATTATACCCTGCACCTTGAGAATCTGAGTATGAAGACTTGTTTTTGAAGTATTTTGAATTAGCTATTGCGGCTATATGGCAGTTACGCAAACCTGTCAAGCCATTCCACAAAAACTTTACGGATATGCCTGACTTATAATTGAACCCATGACTGCCAAGTCTCTTTAGTCTAACCTTATTATTTTTCGGAATATTTAAAACTAGCTTTTGCAGCTACCCGAACCTCTCAAGCCATTCAAAAAACACTTAAGGGATACATCTGAACTATAATTGGATACATAACTGCCAAATCTCATAAACCTAATTTTATTATTTTTTCAAATATTGAATATTAAATTTTTTCAAATGTAAAATTGGGTTTTGGACTTGCGCGGCAGCTACCGGGACCTGTCAAGACATTTCATAAAAACCTTGAGAATATACATCTGGGCTAGCTGCATGAAATTGGACACGCGTCCGTTCAATTTCATGCAGCTAGCTTTATTATTTTTCCCAATATTTAAAATAAGGTTTTGGAGTTGTCAATATTTAAAAGTGGTTTAATGGTTTTAGAACCAGTGCAGCCATTCCATTGAAATTTTTATAGCACATGCAAAATGTAATTAAACACACGTATGCAAAATTTCATATTTATATCTTATTAGTTCTCCAAATATTTAAAATAAACTCTTTAAGTTATATGGTATTGAATCATTGTAATTGGTCCAATAGAGTTCGTTCTTAGCACAAAAGAAACAACTTTTGAAAGTTTGGTCATGTTTGCTTTATTCGTTTTTGAGTTATCGTGCGATCAGACGAACGGACGGACATGTCTAAATCAACGCAGAATTTGATGCTGACCAGGAATATGTATTTATGTCCATATTGGAGACCACACCAAAGTTAACATACCCTTTACGAAAGTGCAGAGTATAATCTATTGAATCTATTTGAATTATTAAATAACTTGTGCTTCCAAACAGTGTTATAACCTTGCATGGGCAAGAAAAAATATTAATTCTTAAGTCTAAATATTTTAGCACAATCTAAAATTTCTTACAAAAAATTTTTTAATTCAGAGAAATAAATCATTAATATGGTAGAAATTTGCCAATTAGATTAAACTTCTTGTCGTGGAGTCAGTCATTCTACACCATAAGAGTATAGAAAAAGTATTTTTGTTTTTCATTACCCAAAATAGAATTACGATAAAAATTAAATGTGTAAAAAGTGCATGTTTAAATATATTTATATATGTACATATACATAATACAAATATATATATATGTGTATTCGTTAGTATTTTAAATAAAATGACGTTATATATAATATGACAAATGAAAAGGCCTGGTTTTATTCTAATGTAAATTCATAAAAATAGGTATATTTGTATTTATAAAACTTTTATGTAAAAAATACGCACCTGCAATGGTATTCGTTGATGCATGGAAGATGATTTGTTCTTGTTTTTTTTAAAAGAACACATTATTAATTCTCTCATACCTTTTCTAAAATTCCTGCTCAAAAATGCGTATAATAATGGATTAACACCTGAATTAAAATAAGTAGCTAAAAATGTTAAGGGAGTAAATAAAGCGTTGAAGTTTGAATATCCTTTATATGTGTCAGACCTGTAGAAATAGAAAATACAAATTTTATTGAATTTAATTATCTTTTCGTATAGCTTCTGAAGCTTATAAAAACAAAATTATTATTAGCGAAATTAAACGGAAAAAATCTGATGCGGTCAGCACATAACCGTCCACAATGTGCATTGTCTAATTGAGTGAAAGTGTTACAGAATATTATAAAAATGCCTGCTAAATACTTCTTTCGAATTTTTAGGGCATTACTAAGCTTATAGTTAACATACCTATAAAAATGTAAATTTGGCTCTTAGTAGAGTTTCGCTTTGTGCTACCCGAATTCTCTGAAATGCTCGCTAGCTAGTTTCGGTAGCAACCAGAACTCAAATATCAAATTTCAAGAAATTCCATCAATTCATTCCTTAGATATAGTAAATCGTAAATGTAAAATCGACCCTCAGATCAGTTTACGCGCCCTAATCTTTCCAAAAAATTTATATGTTCATTGTTTTAATACGAAGAATTTGAATATTAAATTTCAATGAAATCGGTTGATTGTTTCTCTTTATATACGCAAAAATGTATATTTGACCAATAGGAAACCTCCAGTTGCTGATCCCTGATTTCTTCCAAAAGTTAGGTTTGAAATTTCAAGCAAATCTGTTGAATATTTTCTTCATAATGATCAAAAATGTAAAACAAGCTCGTTAAAAAGTGCAGTTCCCCAGGTCTGATATATCCCAAAAGTTGATCAATCCGTGCCATAGTCGAAATAAACTGAAATATAAAATTCCATCAAAATCAGTTCAGCCGAACTTGAGATACACGCGTGCACGCAGACCGACAGGTTGCAAAAAATAGCTTATTTACACTTCCCTACCATGGAGAAGTGCGTTTCCACAGCAAACTCGATATGAGAAATTTGTTGCCATCACATAACCTACCTATTGTATACGCAATGCGGTCGGTAAAAATGGCAAATCACATTTTTTTTTTCGAAAATTAGTCTAACCTTAAGAAAAAATTAAATAAAAAGATTTCTTTTTTCTTCTAAACCATCTTATAACGATAAGGAATCCTCCATTAACTGTAAAAACTTTCTCTAAATGGGAAATTACTTCAAAATTAATAATTTTCTAATATAATTTTCTTAAAATGTAAACAATTGAAACTTCAAGTAAGAGGTTATACGGTTCTATTTACATAATTGCTTGATAAAACAAGTATGAAGTTAATTTTTTGTATGTTTCCAAAAAATAATTTGCTCTGTAACATACGGTTATGACAGGGATTTACAACACGTTAAAACAAATTTTGTAATAATAGCAAAATTTTTGATTTAACAAATTATGGCGGTAGAGTGGGGGTTATGTGAAGTTTATTTTTATATACACAAAAAAAAATATTTTTTGATTGCAACAAAAATGTCCATAAAACAGTTAAAAATAAAAATTATTTGTTTAAATCAAAGAAATATTTTTACATACATATATTTTTTCAGAAAATCGCCACATTACTATAAAAGAACAGTAAAAGTTTCGTAAAATTCAACAATCTCGATTTTCATGATTTGAGTTAAGACAATTAAAATTTATATTTAATACTATGCATGTTTTAAATAAATAATTGCGAAATAATTCGTACAAACATTTCTTTGTATCTTAAAAATATGCGAGCCGGTCGTTATCGAGCTACCATTTTACTACTGCTTATACGCCTATGGATATGTGATATTTATTTAATATAAATACAAGAAAATTCTTGTATAGTAATTATTATTTACAAAATGTAGGTAAAATATTATACCGATTCCTATTACCTAAATCTATACTGTGATCCTTTATATTTGAAAATTTATTTATATTACCTTTGAATCCCTTTGAAATACAAGTATATAATATGTGTATACTGAAACACTTACATATATGTATATATGTGAAATTAACAGTTTATTTTGTATATTATTTCAAACCCCATTATGTAAGTAACAAAATTATGTATGTACACAATATATAAATTTAAGCATCTTAATCAAGTTTAATAATTTATTATTTCTGTTTATTTTGTATCAGATTAGTTATACCTCTGAAGAATTTTTGAATTTATTTATGAGAATTTTTTTTTATAAATACACGCCTATAAATTAACATACATTCATATTATATGATTAAATAAATTTAAATTCATAAACAAGTCTTTAATGTGAAATTACAGCAAAAGTAGATAAAATACGAAATTATATTTTACGTATTTTTTCTCAGTGAATCACTTTATTATTTTAAAGAGGCGTGAGAACTTACTAATTGAAAGCTCAACAAGCTGTGGTAAAAAAGGAAATTTTATTTTTACACAGCTAATTAAATATTAAAGATAAATAAACTATATAAAAATAATTAACTAAATACAAACTTTTCCCTTAAATTATCTTATAGAAAATTAATTTTTTTAATTTTCACAGTAAAGTCAAATAGAATTCAAATCGAAATAAATAAACAGTGACACCTATGAAATTTGGACAGCTGTGGTGGAATAGAAATCCGCTGAGAAGAACAATTTTTAGAAATTTTCATTTAAGAATATACTTAGAAATAAATCTCTAAACATATAATTTATAAATTTTATAAATTAAATCTAGAAGTTTTATATTTCAAAATAAATTTCATTCCTATATTTGTACTTATTTTTTGTGTAAGACATAAATTGTTATGTACATATACCGCCCTGCTAAGTATAAGGTCACTATGTAGAAAGAGTAACTCTCATTTTCCTTTTATGATTTCTAAAAAAAATGTATAGAGTTCATATGAAAAAAAAAAGTTATCACCGTCCTTTTAGGTCATTTATATTTAATACCTAAAATTTTTTTATATAAATAAGTTTTGTAGTTTTATATTGATGTTTGCAAAAAAAAATGCCAAAAGAAGGAAGTTTGCATTCAAAATAAATTTTAAAATATATTCCCTAAAATTTATAGAAAGTCAATCGGTACAGGTCTTCCTCATTGATATTTAAAACAGTACTGAGTTAAATTATGAAAATAAAATCGAAATTTTCATAGAGTAAATTCACCAAACTCTTAGCAAACTTTCCTTTTAACATAAAGCTTTACTGAAATCATGTTTATATCCAAGGAAATATTAGGTATTCGTTTATAATTAGATACATATATTAACTTTAGATATATTGTATTAATCTTTGACAAGTCAAAATTTTGAAATCTCTCAAAATACAATATTTCGATAAAAAAAGTACTTTCGAAAATCGTAGTATATAATGTTTAAGTTTCTATGCTGCAAAATTATTCCAAGTTTGAAAAAAATCGTAATATAGAAATAACAATTTGTTGCTGCTGGTTATATTTTTGTATATACATATTACTAATATCATTTAACCAATAAATCTACAAAAATAAAATTTTTAATTTTTTAAGATGAGCTATAATTATGCAAAAAATGATTTTTAAAATTTTAGTTAGAAGAGCATCATAAAAAGAAGCAATTAAATGGCTAAATTGTTCATTTCTCTTATAATATACGAAAATAAAAATAAATAAAGTTGGGTCAAACCAATGGTTTGTATTGTAGCACTTTTCCCTTCAACAAATGAAAATTCTGCTTTTAAATACAGTCTATGTATACCTATCACACTATTAAAATTATTTTCATTCATATACAAAACTATTTCTAGGATTGCATATATTTGGGATCAACGATTTATGCACTCTTTGAAATAAATCAAAAATTTATATAAAGAGGGCTTAACATAATGCTCAATTTTAAGCGTTAATTGTGTGAGTTAAGAAAAATAATTATATTTTTGAATGTTATTAAAGTTACCGTTAGCTTTGCGTTTATAGAAATTTCGAAACGCTTGCGGTTTCGGAAATATAAGGGTCAAAAATTCAAATTTTACAAATTTCAAGAGGAGATAACTTGAGAGGGGGTGGAGATGGAAAAAATTTTTCTTCTAACGAAATAAACTATTTATTAGTATCTACAAGCTGCAAAAATTTTAGGCTTCTATAGCCTGGGGTCTAGAAGACAAACGACATTAAAAATTTGAAAAAAAAAAACGGATTTTAGATAACGATAAATTTGAACGGCCATTTTGTTTTTTTTTAAGGTTAACTATAGTATGCCGCGATAGAAGAAGCAAGCCACTGCCTTTCTGCGTTTGCAAAATTTAAAAAATGACTATGGTTTCTTTGCAATAAATAGTTAAAAAATGGCATTTTTAGGTTTTAAGAGGGGTATAACTTATAAAGGGAGGAGATAGGTAAAAATTTTATTCTACAGAAATAAGTTTCTAGTAAAGATCTATGTACATAGAAAATTTCAGCGTTCTGTCTTCAAGGGTGTTGAAGTTTTATAAACATGTCCTCGTACGGACGGACGGACATACAGTTTCATACAACATCTTGCTTTTTAAAATATGCCAAGTGATATTTTATACGAATATGGTAATTTCCATAAAAACTCGTCAATCTAAAAGAGTTTTACTAAAAAAAAATAATGGCCGCAAATTTCCCCTTTTAATATATTCGCTTGTGTGAAATTTCAATACCACAGCTTTTAAAGTTTCTGAGATATAGCCAAATAAATTTAGAAACTATCCGAACCAGTATATCGATCATACACAGTTTAAATAGAGTTCTGACATTTACTATAATAAATCATTTGTGCAAATTTGGTAAATTTATCTCAATGAGTTTTGGAACATACGTTCGTACGGGTATAAAAATTAATTATAATTTGTTAAAGGATGAAATTGAATCATTATCGTTTCTTATTATTAAAAGCAAAAGTATAATGTTAGATAAGAGCTTATAAAATATATAACTTTAAAATCATATTTATGGATATATTACAGCGACTATGGATATATTGACGTACACAAGTTGGTTAAAAACTTCTTGTTTCTATACATCTCGTAAATCAACCGCTTTGTGCTAGGAGCGAATTCGAATATAAAAAACATTTTAAGCTTTAAAGAAAATTGATAATCCAGACAATCTGAATTGCAAAAGTATGAAGAAGAATATATTC